AAAACGTCCTGATCGTCAGGTTCCTGAGAGAGCAAGGGAATCTAGAAGCCCCTCTTTATCTTCTTGGGCCTTATCTCTGGTGCTACTGCACTGCAGAGACCGCCCCTGAGCCACTGCAGGCAGTGAGTTAAAAATTCTGTTTTGAAACAGTTCTCCTGCTCACATGGTCTCTACTAGAGGGTAGGAACTTGCTCGCTTTTGGTCAACGAGTTGATCCTGGAATTCAGGCCGGCTACTCTCATGAGCTGAGACCCCGGCCTGGATATGTGCCCAAGGTTCATACCTCTCCCTAAAGGTGGGACTAGGTGGTGAGCCTGCAAGCGCTGCCCCGGAGGAGGCAGACCCAGCCCTGGCTTTTCTTTGTCCGTCCGCTACGGAGACCAGCAGAAGGGAAGGCTGTTTCCAAGCAGAGGTTGGCCCACTACATGTGGTTGCCTTCATCTTGGTGAGACAGTTTTCCCAAGATGCATGTGCCCACCTGGGTGGTGAGCTCCTCCTAAGTGAGGGTATTGCTTCCTCCTAGGGGTTGACACAGAGTGCCTTGCTGAACAGATGTTAACCCTCTGGGGTCGGCGGTCGCGCCGGCGATACCAGCTCGTTTTTCTTATCAGTGCAAAAGAGACTCAAAATACTCTGTTGATTTTAATATTACATATAAGTGTTACACATCACTCAAAACTGTTAAATTCTTTTATTTGTGTACACTCATAATAAAAACAAAATGTTGTGTTTCTCGTAAAATAAAGAAAATAAACATGATGCACGTTCTGCCGTCTCTCTAAATGTGAAGTTCATTCTGAAACGCAACAGAAAATGACCTGTAACTCAGCGAATGTTTGTCACACAGACTTCAAACGTATGTTTTTACAACGCTTGGAGTCTCTATTCTATCCAAACAATCAAAAATCCATTCTTTTTAAAATTCACTCCTCATTCTTCCTCATAATGATATGGACTGATAGCACCTAATAGGGCCATTATGGGAGGGTCTTTGTCTTTCTCAGGTGTGAAACACTCAATATTAATGGGTGGTTTACGCCTCTTCGCATAAAGCTTTCTTACACAAAACATGTCTTATTCAGATAAAACAATATATTGATTTAAAATTTGTGAGTATGCAGGATGATTTTCACATAGTTTTGGAGCAAATATTCTAGGCTACTGTCACAAATCAGAACAACACAAACAGGTAGAGTTTGCAATGACGTTTATTAACGCACTCAAAAACAGTCACGGCAGGTAAGTTGAAGAGTTAGTGGAATAATGGTTGAATCAACAGATGAAATGGATCGGACAAAGTCTCTTATCTGATATAGGAAGATAGATGAACAACGGACTGAAGAAGACAGGCGGGCTGAAGAAGGAAGGCAGGCAGGCTGAAGACTGGAGATCCGAGAGACAGGCTGAGTAATCCGACGATACAGGAAGTGTACGTAGAAGTTAAGCGAAGTTGAAAATTATCTCGGTAAGAGAGAGAGTCAGTAAGTCGATGGAGTATCAACGAGACCTGACAACTGAGTGAGGGAACTGGTGGTGTTTTTAAACAGTGAGTGAAGTGATAGAAGATTGGCAACAGATGATAATGACAGGTGGAAGTGATCAGAATTCAGGGGATGCAGAACGAGTGGGCGGAGTGTAGAGGTCTGACGCTGACGCTGATGTATCCGTGACAGCTACGTGATACAATTTTCAAAAGTCTTGTGAAGAAATAATCAGTATGGGTTTCATGGCCTTATTTCAGTGACAATTTTTTTTGTTTTTTCACAAACCACACATAAACGTCATTATCTTAAAACTACAAACTTTTACATAGATGCTGCTGACATATTATTGTAGCAGAGTTTGTTCTGAATACAGTGTAATAAGACTTTATCAATAATAATGTCACAAGTAACAAAAATAAGCTCAAATGTCAGAGCATGTCAGAACAGGGCCCAGAAAACACCTCAGACCCCAGAGGGTTAATTAGAGTTGGGGGCTGGGCACAGTGTTGGGAAGGATAGTTTCAAAATGTATTTCGTTACAGAATACATGCCCAAAAATGTAATTTGTAACGTATTCCGTTACATTACTCAATCTAAGTATTGTATTCTGAATACTTGGATTACTTCCACAAGTAATACATAATTTCCATTCAACTTTTTGCCTGCAACAATAGAATAATGACAAACAAATAATAATAATTAAAAAGAGTTTAGCTTTTAACACCTTTTACATGACACAGTTTCTTTTCTTGGCCATTGGTTAAAAGATTTATTTTATTTTTTTACAGAAAAACACTATTTCAGTAAAAAAAAAAAGATTTCAGTGCTTCTGATGTTCTCTTGTATAAGTCTACTTTCCTTATGTAGGCTTCTAGGTCGCTATCAAAACGGCAATCACTTGTTTAGCATTCATGTAAACACTACATTCAGTTTCATCAATCTGAATGAATTCAGTCCGATTGAAACAAAAGGTGTGCATAAACATAATGAATGGCGACTGTAGAAAGCAAAAGCCGAATCCCCGACATTTTGGGTGATCTAGAAATGGGCGGCCGGACGCATTTATTTAGGTTCAAAAAGAAGACATGTCCGGGAAAAAGAGGACGTATGGTCACCCTAACGTTAATGTCAAATGGGGCAAACGTTAGTCAGTCTTTCAACGGCTCGGGGGCTAGTAAATCAGAATGTGAAGTCGCACGTCAACTAAGCAGGTAGCTACCGGATATATAACTATAAAATAGCAAGGTGACCAGTAAAACTACAGCAGACGACTAACGTTAATAAAAAAATAAAAATTACTTTAAGATGCTTCTTCAGGTTGGAGATGGAGTCTTTGACCGCTGAAAGGAGGTTAGTTGCTGGCAAGCAGAGGTTGCACTGCACAGTTATATTTCGTCCCCCTCCCTTCTCTTTCTTTAACGTAAAATACTGTTTAAATTTCCAAGATATAAATGCATTCTTGCTCTGCTGTTGTTCCGGCTCCATCTCTAGCTCCCGCTGCACCTCTTCCAACTCCATTGACTGATCAAGCACGCAAACTGCGCATTTTTTTCGTTTTCATATTGGGGCTTCTGGGAAATTTTGAGTTGCCTTAATTTATTTAGAGACTGAATAAACTCGTGAAACAGAGAAGTATCGTCATGTAATCCATTGATTTCAACAATGTAACTGTATTCTAAATACCAACTATTTAAATTGTAACTTTAACGGAATACAGTTACTCATAATTTGTATTCTGAATACGTAACGCCGGTACATGTATTCCGTTACTCCCCAACACTGGCTGGGCGACACCCATCATGTTCGCTAGAGAACTAACCTGTGTCGAATCGCTGCTTCCCGTGGGCTCCCTTCACATGAAGCCAGTTTCACTGTAAGCCCGGACACATTGGCCATGTTTAGGACAAATTGGATTATGCATGTCCACGCAGACGTGCATAATCCCCATTTACTTTCACTTAAGGCATAACCGACTGTCTGTACGAGGCTACTTGCGGAGACAGGCATTTTGACATAATTCTGTGTGAATTTGTTCATTCAAGAACAAGACGATGTGAAAGAGAACTCAGTTCAGTACTCGCGCACAATCTGAGAAGCGGCTTTCCGAATTGAGTTATATACTGTATAGTACCTGTCAAAAGTGTGGAAACATTACAATTTTTTAATGTTTTAGTCTCTTATGCTCACCAAGGCTGCATTTATTTAATCAAAAATACAGTTAAAACAGTATTGCTAAATATTATAAAAAATTATATTCTATTAATATTATTAATAGAATAATATTAATGTTATTATAAATGTCTTTACTGTAAATTTTGATCAATTTAATGCATCCTTGATGAATGAAATTAAAAAATATATTTTAATTAAAAGGTATTGTAATCTTACCGCAAATGTTTGAATGGTATCATTGTTTCCACAAAAAATAAGCAACAAAAACTGTTTTCAACAATGATAATAAAAATGTTTCTTTCAACATTGATAATAATAATAATAATAATAATATTATTGATAAAAATGTTTCTTACCAAATGACTGCCTCCTTGTTAATGATTATCAACTAAAAACATGTGAAACTGAACCTCTGAACCCCACATTCATTTAAAGCTAAGTTTCATAAGGCAAGTTTCATCAAATGCTCAGCAGGTGAGAGTATATTTCAGCATATTTTCACAAGAGCTTCCAAATAACACTTCACTATTGTAATTACTGCTTCACTAGACAGATAGAGACAGGTGTATTCGCTCCAAAGACAAAGGGCGATCATTATTGGATGCACATTCTGGGTTTGTGTACAGTCTAGCGTGCTGTATACATCACACTCCGACTGTTTAAGACGTGCCGAAGAAAGCCTGACACAATTGTGTCTTCTCTTGTAAAAAGAACCATTTGTGTTGTTGGTAAAAACGGAAGTGATGTCGTCCATCTCGAGGGATGAAGATTTTCATGAATACACCAGCCTGTCGCCAAGAGCTCTAATGAAATCAACAGTCTTTTCACAAGGAAGAAAGTCTGAGTGACAAAACCCAGATGTTCTTAAAAACAGACACACATACGCACCAAGAGCTCCTCCACAATTGTGCTCTTTCTTTGGTAAAGTAACATAGTGTTCAAAGGCAGGCTCTGAGGTAACCTACAGCAATAACGTTAAATATATTTCAGCGGTCAAATAGGCTGAAGCACACATGGTGACAATGAAGAGATTTTGCAGACGTTCCAGAGCACTGAAAAAGCATAGTGTCGAAGACATGATATATGTAGTACAAGTGTGGACTACAAGTGCGAAGGTTTAGGTAAATGCACTGCAAAAATAGTGCGCTAAGTCGATTTGTTGGAACGATTTGTCACATTTGTTTGAGAAACAGGAACTGAGCCTTGTATTACTTGTAAATGCTTAGTCTTTTTAGGTATCACGGCTGAATATGTAATACTTTCTTATTTTTGTCCCATTGAAAAGCATGTTTTGATGGTTTAAAAAATGCTGCAGTACAAAGCTGCAGAGAAGTTTTATATTACCTGTGGTTGGTATTGTGCCATCACTGATCTCATTGCACAAGCGAGATAGCAGACTGGTCTTGCCGGCACCGCTCAGTCCAATGCATACTACATCATACTCTGGTCTAGCTGGAGGGGGGGCCTTACAGCACAATTTCTGGAGACACTAATAATACAAAAACACAGAAAAGACAAACATGGTTAGTGACTATGAGTGGTACACTTTTCACTAGCGTGCTGATAAGGCTAAAATGAACAATTTAAGCACGTTTGCCAAAACAGACAGTCTGAAAATAAACTGAGGAACACGAGCTGACAAATGCTAATGAAGTACCAGAGAAAGATGAACTAATGTGGTGATTTGAAAGCAACACATCTGGAGGAGACCTCCAGAACTCACAATGAAATGACTTCATTGACAAAATGGGACATGAAATTTACCACACAGCTATTGCTTTGTCAGTGACTGCGTTTACCGGTGTTCCTTAAGCTTTAATAAAGGGTTTTTATTAAAACTAACTGTTTTTAATATTTCTAACCTTTTGTTATATGAAGATGACATGAAAACATTTTAGGCATTTATTTTTGCTGCTTTTTTTTTCCACATAATTATTTTTGTGCCGATTTTATCATTTAACTCTTGTCCCATGTCCAGATTAGCAATCTTTGAATATGAAAATGCACATTAAAAAGTGAATATATATAAATTGTGTGAAAACATAAATGATTTACAATTGTGACTGTTATTTTGACGTTTCCACCTTTCAAAGGTAAGTGTGGTTGTTTACCAAGGAGACTACAGTATCAGTGAAGAACATGCTTTAGATGAAATTATTAAAATACATTTTTTTTTTATGTATTTTCCCTCTGTAAACAGGCATGCGCATATTGAATAAGCCACCAGAACGGCAGAAAAGGTGTTTAAATATGGAGCAAAATTGTGGTAACGGGCAAAACTCTCAGATGGCCAATTGGGTTTTGCTTAAACCATTTATGTCCTTTACCTTAAAAGAATAATGTTTAAGATGTTTACCTTACAGGTTGTGTTGAGGTTAAGCATAACTGGTGTAAAATCATGCATATAAACACACTAGATGGTTTACTGACACTCCTGAACTAATGTGGCTGAGACCTCCTTTCCTATTGCTTGATAGAGCAGGCTTTATTGTAGAATTTGCTTGCCCTAACATGTAAAATAGATTGTTACAAGACAGTCTAATGCAGTCTGTGTCTGTTTAAGGGGGAGGGTGTGGAAAAGAGAGAGAGAAGCAGGATTCTGAAAGCGTGTGTCCTCATGGAAGCAGACAGACCAGTCACTTTATGAATCACTGTCTCTGACTGGAGGCCTGCTGGGAGACATTAGGAGGCAAATGCAGTGTGAACCGTGAATGGGACAGTTAAAGTCGGTGTGGAGAGATCAGTATACAGAACTAAAAAGAGATATCTTTTATTAGCAGGACAGAACTAGCCTAGGCTAGGCAGGACTTGATTCTAGCCTTGACCTCTGGATTATTTCATTCCACATGGAAACATACCCGTTGTAGTCTCTTTATGAAGAGCAGTTTCTTTTTAAATAGACAAATACTACTTTAGAAGAATGTTCACTTGGAATGTGAACGTAAATGTTCTGAATTCCCACAAGCCAAAATTGTACTCCCATAAGGCAAAATTATACCTGGACAAATTATATTTTAAATACATGATCAATGTTAGAGTGTGGATTTAGGAAATATAATTGTCCAATTTGAAAGTATATTTCTTTTAAATCTCCAAATGCCAAAATAAAGCAAAATATGCATCAAGGGACAAGAAAATACATGTCCAAACTTAAAATACATTTAAAATGTATTTTGGACAATATAAATATATTTAGATAGAAAGTATATTACAAATGACAACATATAAGTTCAAAATCAATTATAAGCATGCAAATTCCTATGAAAAAAATTATGAGCAATATTTTGTCTATTTTGGAATACATTTAAAATATATCTGAAAATCTTTTGCTGCATGAGTTTGTGTACAGCAAAAGTATTGTTGGCCAAAACATCTAAATTTTGCCACAGAGACCAGTCTTCTATCATTACAGCTCACTCATGTATTATGTAATTCTTCCTGAATCCTTACAGGGAAAGGCTTGTAGGCAAACAAATGTGTCATTTGCTCTGGTGTTCTTCCATCAGTAAAAAGCCTAAATTGCTTTCACAGGCCCTCCTTCACAGGAACTGCCACAGAGAGGCCATCCTACATAGTCGGTCGGCCGCACATGCTTCTGCTTTGTCACACAGCAACCTGGACATCTGGTTCTGTAAGAGGCTGATGAATTTACCCTATTCACCCCACCTTCACTTACAGTGCTCAGATGGGATGATAAATTTACATCAGTTGCTTAAGGCACGTCCTGGAGCTTTGACCCCGCGGCCCACAGGAGCACAGGGCCACACATTTCAGTGCCCCATGTTGTCGCAGTAGAGCAAAATAAAAGATTTCCCAGGTGTCCGAGAAGTTGCATTTCAAACAACTGTTTGGTCAGGATTTTTCTCGTGCCAGTAAGGCAGGTTGAAACTAAGGCTGCCAAAAAGGTTTCTATATGTTGAGAAATGCTAACTCTTGATTGATTCTTTTGGCTCTAGTCATTCATATTGGACACGTTTAATTGTTCGAGAGCTTCGAGACATTACCTCACCGATGTTGGGGTTGTAAAAGCTGATTAACTGCTTTTTATGTAAATGAAGACTTTAAAAGGTATAAATATTCCAGCCTGACAACAGCTGTGACACGACTGCGGCGCATTTTCAAATGAAATGTTTCGCTAAAAGGTGCGCAAAAAAATAAATAAATAAAAAATTCTCTCAGGCCCCCTTATCCCACCCAGCTTTCTATTTGAAAAAAAGATGTCAAAGACATCAAACGGCTGATGTAATTAAAAGGCCTGGCAGAGATCCAGGTCCTGGCACCAAAACAAAGATACGACAGCACTAGAATCCTCCAGCACAGCAGACAGGAGAACACAGCTGGGCCAAATCCACTCAGTATTGCAACAATATTGAATCTTCAGCCCTTATGGAAGCAACGCTGAACAATACGCCACTGCAAAAACAACTCCCCGCCTGCCAACTTCTCCTGAATGGACCCCTCGGCTGAGTGAAGGGGACCCTGTCTGCTCTGTCCTTTAAAGAAAAACAGTCGTCTGACTTCCATCATGAGAAAAGTAACACGCTTTGCACTCGGCAATGACAACAGTGATCGCTCGGCGGGGTTATTGGCGAAAGACTTAATCCTTACAGACATATACTGTATAGAGATACTGTTGGCTGGGTGGGGAGGGGGGTCTGAGGGTCCGTCTGTCCCCCAGACATGCGATGGCCAGCCGTTGCTCACTTGTCTGCTCTATTTTAAATGACAGCTTTGTATTTTTAGAGCCAATAAATGAGGGGGCGAGAGCGAGGGAAGCACCACGCAGACAGACAGGGCTCACATTTCACTCATTTGCCCTCTGAGAGTGTGGAGACAGAGCAGACGTCTGCCATTGAAGCGTCAGGCAGCGATGCCATCCTGTTTTCCCCAACTGCACCTCTAAGCATCGCCCATCGCCATGGCTTTGACAGTGACACTTTGGCACCTCAAAGGATTGCTGCATTCCTGCACCGCTAAAAATGGCAATTCTGTTATTTAATCACCCTTACATCATTACAAAACAGTAGGGCTGGGAGAAAAAATTGATTCACCTAGCTATTGCGATTTTTTTTTTTTAACGATTCTAAAATCTATTTTTTTATTCCAGAATCAATATTAATTAAAATTAAATTGCTTTATTTTTGTCATTGCTTGTAGATGAGGTTGACAGAAGTTAGCTACTTTCGTTCCAACAGAGGATGAAATGTGTCGTTATCTATGAGTGTTGAGTGACATAATATCGCAAGTGGACGCGTGGAAGAGACGTGAGACTGAAAGCACTGAAAAGCCCTCGCGCTACTCATATGCTGAGAGAGAGAGATAAGACAATAGAGCTGCACGATTCATCTTTAAAAGACTGATCTCGATTCAAAACACCCACGCGATCTTTCAATTCGTCTGTCTATTAAACTTTGACAAAATCATATCGCAACATTCAAAGCTGTGTTGGCGCTGCCGCTGACTCGGAGAGAGTTGTCATGAAACAGCTTCACAAACAGTCTTTTCAACCTCATAGTATCATTATTTCTGTGATGCAATAGTTCAAATTATCATAGAAGTACTTGGATAAAAGTTTAAAGTTCAAATATGAACACTGATGTCTACGATAGCGTTTAAAATCAGCTTTTGATAGAAACTTTGTTGCTTAATTTTAAGGCATTTATGGATTACATTGTTTCGCCACTATGTGGCGACAAGTGACTTAAAAAAATGATGTGTTATTGAATCATTTATTCAAGAGAATGTAGTATTGTCTGATGCTTCTAAAATAAAAGTCAGAAAGATTTGATGATTTGTTTTTGTAAGTACAGTCTGTATAAGTGTATGATTTAACTTTTCCCGATGGTCTAGTGTTAAAAAAAATTGACATAGCAATATTGAATCGCAATACTTAAAAAAAAAATCGCCATACATATCGTATCGGCACCCAAATATCGTGATAGTATCGAATCGGGTGATAGGTGTATCGTCTCAGCCCTACAAAACAGTACAGTTATTTTGGACTATGGAATACAAAACAACAATAATTTTAAAGAATCTTCACAATTTTTTATACAAAATGTGGAATATCAATAATATTGAAAATTATTGTCATTCATTTTTATAAACAATGTTGATTTGAGAGCTGCACCAAAGGGAAAGATCATTAGAAAATAACAACTTAAATATTGGTCTTGTCTAAGAAAACACAATAAATCGATACTATATTGGTTACTGGCTGATATTAGAAACAAACTTTTTTATTATTTATTTTTCATTTATTGGATACATATCAGCTTATATTGGATTGTGCATGTACATTTTTCGTTTTTACATTTAGATTATCTTTGCTGTATCTTTTCCAAATGTCATTTGAATTTAACTTTTAAATATAAATATTTTAATAACCAATAATAAGTGCAATCTTTTTCAAATCTCAAAATGAACATCTAGGCCCCTATTGTTCATACTGTACATTATAATGTAATGCCTAAATTAATTTGTAGCAAT